AAGAAATCAAGGTGGGGGGAATCAGAAATATTGGGGGAGACTGGAATTTTAGGGTGGCCTGAAGCTGAGGGAGGGAGCCACATGGGAAAAAGGCATTCCAGGCAGAGGGAACAGCCAGTGCAGAGGCTCTGAGGTAACAGGAACTAGGTCAGAGAGGGCCTTAAGAACCTGGAGGGACAGAGGGAGGGACTCAAGCTGCAGTGACACTACCTGCTCTACCTAACAATAGGATCACTCTGGCTTCCAGGGTGAGCAGAATGTGAGATGGGAACATGGCAGAAGCAGTAGATGGCCCCCAGCTCTCCCTTCTCCTCCCAGCACTCCCACCCTTCATCTTCTAATGCTCCTGAGGGCAGATGGAATGTACACTTTCCCCAGCACACCCACTGCCACCACCTCCTCCTCCTGATCTTCATTACTGCCCATCTGAGCTGTCCCCACAACCTCCACTTTGAGGACAGAGGGCAACATCCCTGTGCAGAGCCTGCCTGTCCTTTAACTGCAAGTCATTTGACAAGACCCAGGACTAGAACAAAGATGTGCCTGGTCAATGTTTAAACTGAGGAAGCTTTTACGCTCCCCCACTTCAAACTCCCAGAAGAAAGGGAGGTTAAATCTTATGAGTCTACTACCCCAACTCTGCCTGGAGCTGCTAGACAGTGGGTCTGCCTGGGACTGTACCCTCCTTGGGACCCAGATGATAAATAAATGTCTGATGTGTGTAAGAGGAGGCCACAGGGCTGGGGATATAGCTCAGTTGGTAGAGTGCTTGCCTTGCATGGATAAGGCCCTGGGTTCAATTCCCAAGACCATACAAAAAAAAGAGGAATCCACAGCTGGCAAATCCTGCCAGGCCCTCTGCTCCCATGAGCCCCTTTATTCTAAAGGGACACCTTTATAATATTTTGCAAAGTGGCAAAATGAACACCTAAAACATCATCACCCCCACATCCAGCCTGCCCCACAGTGCTCAGCCTGCCCCAAGCTTTTCTTCAGAAGATGAACATCTAGAGCTGTGGCCCCCAGTGAGGACATAACCACAAGCCAAACGTGGCAATTGGGCATTTGAAATGTGGCCAATCTGAACTGATGCACTGTGGGTGTAAAATTTTCAAGACTTTGTACAAAATAAAAGATTGTCAAATAGCTCATTTGTAACTTGTATATTAAAATACATTGGGGAATTAAAATATATTCATTTTAATGTGTGAATTACACCTGTTTCTTTTGAAACATGTTATTGGGAACATTGTATTTACTTAGGTGCTCAAGGTGTGCATCTACAGATGTGTCGTCCTGGAGTTATGACAGCCTCCAGCCATCTCAACAGAGCAAAGCAAAGAGGAATACAAACAGCTCAGGCGCAATTATTTTGCAAACTGATAATGAAAAGATCATTTTGACTTTGTTTTTCTTTCTATTCCATTTACATCAGAAAGAAAGAGAAGGGGCCTTAAAAGGTCTAATTCCGAAGATAAATAACAGCCTGCACCCCCCCAACCAGTCACCCATTTGCCACTCCAGAGCACGGTGTGTGTGGTGCCAGATTAGCTGATTAGAAGCAGAACCCTGCCAGGTGTGGTGGCACATGCCTGTCATCCTTGTGACTTGAGAGACTGAGGCAAGAGGATCACAAGTTTGAGGCCAGCCTTACCAACTTAGTGAGATCCTGTCTCAAAAAATAAAAAGGGCTGGAGGTATAGTTCAGTGATAGAGTACCCCTGTATTTAATTCAAAGAAGGAGAAAAAGAATATCAACTATGTCCCTGTCACCCTTCAGACCCTCCATGGGCACCCTGCCCAGGCCAAATACCTCCCCTGGCATTAAAGACCCCGTCCCAAACCAAGCCTGAGCCAAACTTGTCCTTCCAGTTTCCTCTCACATGCTCCCTGCTCAAAACCTCTACACTGGTCAGTTCACACTTATTTATTCAGTCAATCATTCAACAAATATTGACTGCTTCCCATGTGCAGGCTGAGCACTGGCTACTAGGGCATGACGGTTAGCAAGACAGGCACCATCCCTGTACTCCCTAGGGGCCACATATCTAGTGGGGGGGGGGCGGTTAAGAGGAAAGTAAATAAAGGGCATTAGGCCCACTGCAGTAAGAGAGTTGTGGGGAAGCACAGAGGCCATGCATGCACCTAAGCCAGCCTTAGGTTGGGGAGGGCTCCCTGGAGGAGGTGACATCTCAGCTGAAGAATCTGAGTAAACTAGACTGCGTCTGGGGAGTGGTAAATATTCCAGGTGGAAGGAACTTGAGTTCAAAATGCAAAGGGCAGGTTGGAGGGCAGAGCCTGCAGAACTGACTGACACTCATCCTGACTGGAGGGCGGTATGGCATTTATTGTCAAATGTTTATTCTGGGATCTCCCTTTCCCACTTGAAAGGCTTTTACTCCTCCTCTAGGCCTCCCCAGCAGGAAAGACTGGGTGCAGCAGGCCTGCTTCTGCCTGGCATTTGAGACTAGAGAATAAGCAAAGGGTTTGTGGGGCTCCAGCCTGGGAGGGTCAAGGGATGGAGGTCCTGGGCTGGGTTAGGGGATCCTGATTCTGGGATTTGAGGTTGGAGTTGAGTTTTAGGGAGCTAGACTCAGGAACAGGAGTCAAGGTTGGGGCTGAGGGTAGGGTTGGGGTCTAGGATCTAAGTTCAGAATCTGGGTTAAAATTAGGAGTTAGTTTCAGGCCAGATGAGCAGTTGGGTGTAGAAAAGGAGCTGCAGCTGGGGGTGGGGGGTTCTAGGTAGGGTTTGCAAGTGCAGCAGGAGTTGGGGGTAGGTTCCGAGGTAAATCTGAAGTGGGGGTTGGGTTGCGGCCCAGGCTCTGGGGCAGAAAGACAACATTCCTCCCGCAGCGAATTGTGTTCGGAGCCCCAACAGCAGCTGACAAAATCCCCTCCCTTCCCAGGAATGCCTCTGCCCAGCAGAAGGAGCGCTGCCACGTCAGCCAATCGGCTTAGGCCCTGCCCTGTAAACAACACCTGTTAATCCCCCTCCCTCCAGGCTCACCTGAGTGCAGGTTAGGCAGGTGAAGTGCCTCCCCGGAAACGGAGCTAGAGCGCCCCACCTGCCCGGCCCTGCCTGCTCAAATCGGATCCAGCACGTCCAGGCTTCTCGTGAGTGCCCCACAGTCTCCCCACCCGCTCCGCCCCCACCTTCTCCCACTAGCTCTCGCCCTGAGATCCTCCACCCCACCCCCAGCCTGGCGCCCGCCGACCCGATACACCTGTGCCCTTACTTTCAGACCAGCGAGTCACAACCCAAGGGAATGCTGGGACAGAGTCCATGCCCCGCCCACGGCCCCTCCCCCACCTCCCTTGGGGCATTAGTATCTGCCCCGCCCACTTCCCCTGCTGGGTAGCCCCAGCGGAGGGGTCGTGGAGCATGCATACTTCCTCAGGGTGTACCCCTGCACAGTCATGTTATCATATCTGGAATGATCCAGGACCTATGCTCCGTCCTATCTGGAATCAGAGGGGTAACATCGGGTTCACTTATCCAAAAAGCATGCTTCAGCCTCTATGCAGACTCCAGGCCCCACTGGAATTCTGAAAGGAAGAGGTCAAATGACTCCCTTCCGTCCCTTAAGACAAATGTCACAGTCCTTGCTTTTTAGATAAGGAGACTGAAGCTCTAAGAGCTGAGCTCATGGGGCCCCCTGACTCTCCCCATCTCCTCTCCTGGGTGCAGAGGGCCCTGTCTGACCAAGCACACCCAACGCCTAGCATGCCAACAGGACCTGCTTATTTCTGATGTTTGTGGCAAATTGGGCTCCTTGAGGACAGGGACTGCACCTGCTTTATTTTTGCCCTGTGTGAGTCATGCTGGCTGTCCTCTAGAGGACAGGTTAAATGAGTAACCACTGTTAGGTCCCTCCCCATGTTTCCATGGTGGGGAGGGCTGGGCTGGGGTTCAAGTCCAGAGCCTTTCTTTTTCCTCAGCACTTTAAAGAAACCATGGAGGAGGATGACATGGGTGGGGTGTGGGTGAAAGTGGAGAAGAGTGGGGCAACAGAAAGCTTATTGGGGGTCAGGGCTGAAGAGGCAGGCACAGGGGGGCTACTGTAGGAACAGAATAGATAGACAGCCTGACTGGTGGACTGGGTGTGACAGAGGGAGACCAGCCCCCCTGGCTGAGAGGTGTGATGCAATCCTGAAGTTGGGAACACAGAAGAGAAGCAGGTTTGGGGTAAGATGACCAGTTTGGGTTGGGACCTGTTGCATCAGAGATGACAATGGGACATCACGATGACAGTTGACTTGGGAGGAAGATCCTGGTTGGAGATGGAAATTTGGGAACCAAAGTCTTTTCCTGCCAGGCTGTGAGATGAGATAGGCCTGGAAGGAGGGTATTAGGGGCCAGATTCTGACCCACAGAGAAGGAGGAGACTCATCTCTAAGCGAGAAGTTACAGAATCAGGCCACTGGTTCCAGAAGAGTTAAGTCATCAGCCCCCCTCCCCACAACTCCCCCCCAGGAACCAGTGGTGACAGCTGAGGCCATGTGAGTCTGGATCCTGAATGAGGCTTTATCTCTAGCTGTTCGTCCCATCGTCCACTGTGGCACCAGCTCCGTCGGCCGGCCAGGATGGGACAGGCGACTGGGAGAGCCAGAGCCAGAGAGGTCAGGGGCTGAGCAACGGGATTTCCTGGAAGGGTGTGGGGGTATCCTGGGAGGAGGGGAACTTTCCTGGGGTCACTGTAGAGGCTTCCCCAAGGGGTAGTGCTGGGGAGGAGACTTTCCCAAAGGGGATTCCAGAGGACACAGGGGGAGGATACTCGGGGATCGTCCCCAAGGCTCCCAGGTGAGACCATGAAAGCTGGGTGGATGGGAGGTAACATCGAGATCCTTCCCCTGCAGGTGATGATGACCATAGCCTGGGCTGAGAGAGGAACAAGACTCTGGGCCTGCGACTGCCAAGCAGGTGGTAGGGGCACCAGGCCATGATCTGTACCCTCTGATCCCTGACGCTGACCTTCTGCCCTGACCTGCCTGACTAAGCCATGTCTGAACAAGCTCAAGCCCCTTTGGGCCGGGGGCTGCCCCCCGACATGCTGGCAGAGCAGGTGGAACTGTGGTGGTCCCAGCAGCCAAGACGCTCCTTGCTGTGCTTCAGCGTCGCTGTGGGCCTTGTGGCAGGCTGTGGGGCAGGTGGCGTGGCCCTGCTGTCCTCCACCAGCAGCCGCTCTGGTGAGTGGCGCCTAGCAACAGGCACTGTGCTGTGCCTACTGGCCCTGCTGGTTCTGGTGAAGCAGCTGATGAGCTCAGCTGTGCAGGACATGAACTGTATACGCCAGGCCCACCACGTGGCCCTGCTGCGCAGCGGTGGAGGGGCCGATGCCCTGGTGGTGTTGCTCAGTGGTCTCGTGCTGCTGGTCACCGGCCTAACCCTGGCTGGACTGGCTGCTGCCCCAGCTCCTGCTCGGCCACTGGCCACCATGCTGTCTGTGGGGATTGCCCTGGCTGCCTTGGGCTCGCTCTTGCTGCTGGGCTTGCTGTTATATCAGGTGGGCGTGAGTGGACACTGCCCTGCTACCCGTGCAGCTGCCCCCTCAACCCATAGTGGCCACGGTGGCAATAGCAGCATCTTCAGCATCTCAGGACAGTTGTCTTCTGGCCAGCGTAATGAGACCACCTCCAGCATCGCCAGCCTCATCTGATAGAGCCAGAATCCTCCTTCCCAGGACCTGTCTCAGCGTCTCCAAAACTGTGCCAGGATGTGCATGTGTGTGCTTGTGTGTGAATGTGTGTATGTCTCAGGGCCACATCAGCCCTTCACTGGGTGTGTGATATGGGATTAGGAGCCCACATGTACTCACATTCCACATCTACTCACATTCCACATCACAGGTTAGCGTGTGCCTCCTTGGAACTGCATGTTTGTGTCTGATGACTGTCACTCTGTCTATCTGGGTCTGAGTTCTCTAGGGAGAGAAACATCTGCAATCCCTATTTCCAACACCCCTCAACTCTAGCCTTGCCCGGCAATACCCGTCAAGGGTTTCCACAGGGTGACTGTTGTCCATCCCAGAGACTGCACCAGTGACCGCTCATCAAGAAGAATGACTGGTGGCAAAGCAGAAGGAACAGGGGCTCCAGGATTGAAATCCTTCCAACCCCCAACCCAGGCACCTAATAGCTGGGAGATTCAGCAAGCAACTTAGTCTCTCTGGCCTTTTCTAGAGGTCAGGTTGCCACTGTTTGTGAGAATTAAATGTTGTCATGAATGGAAGGACTGGGCTCAGGAGAGATATGCATGTACAATAAAGTGGTGGCTGCTGTTTTCATTGTCATCTTCACCTCACCATCTCACCTGGGAGATCCTCCTTCTCCCTAGGGCACACACCACTCCTCCCAAGGCTAGCTCTTCCCTGCCATGTCAGTTCATAAAGGGAGCCTTGAAGGTGGCCTGGGCCTGGCCTGGGATTTCTCCTCTCAGGTAATAAGGGGAAGGAGGGGAAGAGTGTTGAATGGCTGTTCAGGTTTGGGAAGATAATGAGTTTGTGGTTCCAGAAAAAGGGTGGAGAACCTGAAGAGTCCTTCACGTTTGTTCACTTGCTGATTCAAGGGGAGGCCGGAAGCCTTGGGGTGTTCTCAGCTGATTTCTCTGGAGACTGCACCTCCTTTACACTGTCTCCCTTCAGCTGACTCCCTGAGGGTGACTGGGAGGCTGAATCTCCCTACCCCACCTTGGAAACCAGAACATCCATTTAGTCACTACACCAGCTGGCCTGCTTGTGGGCTCCTGGGCATAGGAGAGGAGTTTGGGATTCTGGGGTGCTGAGAGTCACTTCCTGCCCTGGAAGGAACCTGCCCTTCTGTGGTGTGCTGACACTTCCTGGGTGGTAGCAAGACAGCCCCACTGGAATCAGCCCACAGCCGGGCTGCTTACTGCTGCTTCACATCCTGCTGTGCAAGGTGCAGATGGAAGGTGCCAGAGAGTCAGGGAAAGAGAATTGTCTCCTAAGAAACATTACACTAGAGGCCCTCACGTGAGAAAATTGCTTTCAGCAGGCAAGGGCAGGCCTGTCTTCTGGAAAAACACAGGGCTGATGGTCAAGGAGAAGAGAGCTATAGGGACGGGGCAACACGGGCAGCCCAGAGGGAAAGCCAGGGATGTCCAAGAACACCTAGTCATGCTCCACACATGCAAAATGGAATTTTCTGCTACCTTGAAGGAGCTCCTCTGTCTCACCTGGAAGTGCCACCAGTCACCTAGTATTCAAGTCAGAGATCTCAGAGTGGTGCTAAATGGTGGTACCTTCACAGTCTCTTCCCCCAATTCCGTCAATAAATCACCAATTTCTCTGATTCCCCTCATAGATATTTGCCTGCTAATCCACATCTGTATCCTACCTAGCAGGAACTCCCTTTGTCTTTGCCTGAATTGAACAACTGCCTCCTTACTACGCATTCCCGACCTCTTCTCTTTTTGCCTCTTAAATCCACCTCCCCCTGCCACACTTAAGTCAGAGTGATCATCCTGAAACTAAGATGGGAACCTACCTTAAAATCTTTCCGTGGCTCCCCACCACTCACACCCTTCCTAACATCATATGATCTCATTCTCCCCTCAAAGACCCCCCAAAACCAGCCACATCAAACTATTTCCACAAAATGAATCCACTTGTCCGGGTCTTAGATGTTCTGTTTTCTTTGCCTTCTTGTTCTTCAAGACCCTGGCTTGAAGACCCTCAAATGCAGACAGTAGCTGCAATTCTTTCTTTGTGTACTTGTCACCTCAACTAGGTGATGAGCTTCTTCTGGGTCTCGCTCACCTATGTATCCCTAGTTCCCAGCATGGGCCTGACACATGGTAGTGGCTTTGTGGGATGGATGAAGGACTGTGGCTTGGGCAGATGACAATGTGTATGCAAGGGGCAGGGAGACCCACCTTTAGCTGGGAAGGATAGAGAAGTTAGGCCATGGGGCACTTGACTCTGAATCCTTCCTCACTCTTCCTAACTTCTCAAGAGGGATCTACCCCTATGCCAACTCCTGGACTGTGGGAGGACCACAGAATGCTCCTGTCCCATAATACAGGGAGAAGTACCTTTTCCTTTCATCTGAGAAAAGTTAGACCCTCCCAATATTCCTTTTAAGAAACTAAAGGAGGGCTGGGATATAGCTCTGTGGCAAAGCGTCTGCCTTGCATTCACAAAGCCCTAGGTTCGACCTCCAGTTCCAAAAAAAAGAGAAAGAAAGAAAGAAAGGAAGGAAGGAAGGAAGGAAAGGAGAAACAAAGAGGCTTAGAAAATGGGGAGAGGGCAGGGCCACACAGTTTAAATATCTGACTGAGCATCAGCAAGGCCAATGTCAGGTTTCTCTGAAAGGACACCAGATGGAGACTGTGGTCTGTGCCCCCAGAGGGCCTACTCCATGGGATAGTGGAAGTCAGCACCTCTCCATCCAAACTTAACACCAGACAAAAGATGGTGAGAACTGTACCAGGGTCCCTTGATCACTAACACAGGCCTGCCACCACCCCTGCCTTCAGCTGCAGGGGTTTGAATCACTTAGCTGAACTCCTGCCCAGTCCACTCTGCCACCAGCTGTCTAATAGCCTCTCTGCTCACTTGCAAGCGGGGGGGGCCCCCCTACACACCCACCCCTACTTGCTGTCTGCACCTCCCTTGTCCTTTAGTTAAGATTCTTTGGCCCCCAAAGTTCTTCACAGATGACTCCACCTCCCAATCCATCAGAATAGGAGAGTATGTGATGGGATCCCTCCTCTCCTACTCCTGCTGGTCAGAGGAATGGCTTTGTCAGGCCAATAGAGGAATTTGAACTTTGTCCTCAGGGCACTGAGAAGCATAAAACAATTGTAATCAGGGAGTAGTGTGGCCAGGATAGGATTTAGGCTGTGCTGGCTGCTGTATGGCACTGGGGCTTGGCCTTGGGAAGAAAAGAAAAAGTGGCCAAACAGCCCAGAGAAGTACTGTCTCTGCTGGCCCAGAGGGAGGAGAAGCAACTGACCAAGCAATAGTGGTTGAGGAGAGAATCCTAGAAAGAAGGAATAGCAAGAAGAAGGGCCCAGAGGCCAGAGGACCTTGGCTCCTTGGAGGCACCAGGGAGGGTTGGCCATGCTGGAAGAGGCAAGGAGTGAGGCCAGAGAGTGCTATGGGCCAGTCCCAGGGCTTCAGAATCCCCTTAGCAGGCGGGCTAGTTTTCAGGGACAAGAGGAAACCAGTGGAGAGTGTCAGGCAGAGAAATGGCCCGGTTAGAATTGTGTATGATCACTCTGCCCACAGTGTAGAAAATTAATTGGAAGGGGCCAAAATGGAGGCAAGGAAACCAGTTAAGGACTTTATGCAGGTGTGTGATAGTGGGGCTTAGACTGGGGAGTGGCTGCTGGGATAAAGTTCAAGGAGAACAGATTCAATGGATGTTCAGAATCTGACAGGTCTTTGTGACTAGCTAGTAAAGCTTTTTTGAGATGGGAGAGATACGATGAGTTAAATGTTGATTAAAAGAAGGGGTGAAGATACATGGTAGGGAAGTCAGTCTTAGAACAAAGTCCCTGAGCAGGGGGTGGTGGGTGGAGCCACAAGATGGAGAATTGGACTTGCAGCTCCATTTTAATAGGAAAGAAGAAAGGATATGGAGTTTGAAAACAGAAAATCGAGAGAGGCCTTGACCAACAGCTATTCTCTGCAAGGCGAAAGCAGTGTTAAAGAACTGCTATGGAGAAGGGGGAAGGATCTGACCAAGAAAACAGCAAGATTTGTGGAAGTTTTGAGAGCCTTCATGAGGCTCGGGACCAGGCATCACCAAAGGCCAAGTTGCAGGCGCAGGGAGCAGCTGACCCCAGGTGAGAGTGTCGCCAAGAGTATGCAATGCTGAGACCATGGACAGGTAAGTTGGGGATACAGGCAAGAGACAGTGGCATAACGAACCTCAAAATTTAAGCTGGCACTGGGTGAAAAGAGAAGAAGATGCTGATGAGTAGGGTAAGGTGGTGAAAGCCTATAATTCCAGCGATTCGGGAGGCTGCAGGAGAATTACAAGTTCAAGATCAACCTGGACAAATTGCCAGACCCTGTCTCAAAATAATAAATAAAATAAAAAGAACTAGGGATGTAGCTTAGCAATAGAGAACCACTGGTTCAAAGAAGAAGATGCTGATAGAAGCGGAGAAGTGTGGTCTGGACTTAGAAGCTCTCATCAGGTGACAGGTGAGGTGCAGAGAGACAGAGAGAGAAACTTGACACATTTCCCTTGTGTTATTCAGCTTCCCATTGTTGTGAAAAAAACAACTAAGAGGAAGAAAGATTTGTTTGGGTGCTTAGTTTCATAGGATTCAGTTCATGGTCAGCTAGCTTCAAGGCAAAAACATCATGGTGGAAGGGCATGGGGAGGGGACAAGATAGAGTCCCCAAGGGCACACCCTCAGTGACCTGCTTCCTCTGACCATACCCCACCTGCCTCTCTGTAGGCCATTCAAGTTATTAATCCATCAAATGGATTAATCCATCAGTGAGGTACAGCCCTCATGATTCAATCATTCCCTTAAAAATCCACCTTGGAATATTATTGCACTGGAGACCAAGTCTTCAAACATGAGACTTTGTGGGACATTCCAGATCCAAACCATAAGATTTCCCCCTTGGCTTACCTGGAAAACTCAACCATGATGCCTGAATATCTGGATAATGGAAGAATATGTTCAAGAAACTGCCAAATCTGGTCCAGTTCAGGTGGTTCTCATACCATATCCAGTCACATCCCACATGAGGCCTCAGGCACTCTGAAAACACTGGTTTTCCCTAGAGAAACTTCCTCCAGGGCCCAAGGGACCTGCACATGCCCCCTCGTGCTCAGCATCCTTCATAAGGACAGGGGGTGCCTTCTTGACTCTTCTCCAGGACCTGTGAGACTCCTCTGGTCATAGCCTTAGAAGTCACCTCCGGAATCTGAAGGACCACAGATGCCAAAGTCCAGGCTTTGGCATGAAGCAGACCAGTTCCACCTTCACAGCCTGCTCTCCCAAACCTGGAGCTTGTACTCTGAAATTGCTGGGCCCCTGTTTGCTGAGATGGGGGTGATAGGGGAGCCAGCCAGGCAAGGTGGTGGTGGGTCTACACCTAGGACATTCCTGCTGTGAGTCCGTTTTATCCTTACTAAAAGGTGAGACAATGCTGTTATTGCTGGGTGAACAGGCAAGTTACAATTACAATTGCTGGGATACAGGCAAGAGACAGTGGCATAACAAACCTCAAAATTTAAGCTGGCACTGGCTGAAAAGACAAGAAGATGCTGATGAGTTGGGTACGGTGGTGAAAGCCTGGGGCCAGACATGTGAAAATGATTTAGTTTCAACATTCAGTCTAGAAAGCAAGGTTGCCTGCCCAGCAGAGCTATTATAAGATAAGTACAGGTACAACAACAATATGTCATTGTTCCTCATGTTAATATTATATTTACGGTGTCAGAGGTTTTAATCTAAATCCTTTGTTGTTCTGAATAGATCTTTCCTATCCTGGGAAACAGAAAAATTCAAGTCTCCAGCAGGAAGTGAATGAGGAGGGTGGCAGTTTGGCAAACTCCCCACCCTTGGGATTAAGGCTGGCTACCTTTGTGAGGAGCCAGTGCCCTGGGGGTGCGGGTCAGGATACAGCTAGAGCACTTGTTCTACTTTATGTTTAGAATTCTTTTAGTCCAGCTAACAGCCATGTGAAGCAAATACTTATGATCCCCACTTTACTGAGATGAAGTTAGGGAACTCATGGTTTGAGTAATTTGCCAAGATCACACAGCATGTGATCTGGGATTTTTGAATCCAGGTAACCTGTGCTCCCAAATCACTTTGCTACTGAGCTAGAATGCAGCTGGAGTTTCTTACACTTTGTGGCTGTGGCTTTTGTGACACCTTCCTCTTCCCCCCACCCCCACTGTCTTTGACCACCACACAAGATAAGGGATGTGTGGCCTTGCCTTTGGAAGCAGCCAGGAAGCTGGGTTGTCCTCCAAAGACATGCTGAGGTTCCCGGGACATACAGGTAGTGGCAGGTGCTGAGGAGTGAAAGACAATGTACAGGGCTAGGGACACAGGCAGGTGAGGACCAGGATCTGACGCCAGACCAGACAGAGAGGCCCTGGTGAGTGCCAAGCCTCCCAACAGTTCTAGCAGCTCTGGTCCTCTGAGCCTGCAGATCCAGTTCAAGCACCCTCTGTGCCTGGGGCCAGGCATGTGAAAAGCAATGGGAACAGAGTCTTCCAAGGAATCCAATGAGGCCTAGATAAACAGGATTCAAGATTCCTGTAACTCCAGGATCCTGATGAGCCCAGTTTGGCAGGTTCTAAGAGAAATCCTGGCTACTGGAAACTTGTGGGTTTGGGGCTCAGGAAAAGCAACTGCTAATCTGGAATAGAGAGCTTACCTTCTTCTGGACCCCTAGAGGTACTGACCCAGATGTCAAAAAGTATGTGAAAATAAGAACAGCAAAGTTATTCTGTTACAGAACTGTGTGTAGGGCAGCTCCTCTGTGGTGGGAATCAAAGAAACTCAAATGCATGGGACAGGCTCAACTGCGTTTGCAGCAACACCTCCCTCAGAGGCAAGGAGCCCTCTGTCTCTTAGGCCAACTGTTCGGGGCCTTCCCTGTGAGTCTCAGGCTATAGCAGCCTCTGCTTCTCCCAAGCCTTTGAGGGTCAAACCTCTGGACTCAGCAGCAATTGCTAGGTGGGCTGCATGAGCTTGCTGCTTCCTTCTAGCCTTCCCTTCCAGGCCTTCCTCTGCTGACAATCCCTGAGATAAGGTCCCCACTCTATTCCAGAACCTCCTCTTACTCTGGCCCTCCCTGGCCGTCTCAACTGTTCCTGCTTTCAATGACCACAGTGCTGATTATCCACAAACCCATGTCCAGAGACTGGACTTTTCTCCCCATGAGCCCAGTTGTCCCTGGCATCTCCCGCTGGAAATCCTGCATTCAACATTGAACCAACCACCAATCCCCCAACCTACTCTTCTTCATTGCACCCAGTTACTGAGCCAGAAAACAGGGCAACTGTATCGATACCTTCTGTTCCCCATATCCCAAATCAACAAGTTCTGTCAACTATGCCTCCTTGTCTCTGGAGTCTCTCTGTTCCCCTAGCCACACCTTAGCTGGTCTTTGAATTTCTGTCTCTGCACAACAAGATGACTTTTCTATCATGATTATATAACACACACACACATACACACAAAGTCACAGTTGAGCCTCAGTTGCTCTCAGGCTGAACTGTGAGCTTTGCATCTCAGCTTCCAAAGCTCTAATGAATCCTCTCAAGCTTCATGGCTGCCACGGGCACCCCCGGACACTAGACTCAAGTCCTCCTTAACCTTCTGCTTGTCTCAAGCCCCTCCCTGTGTAAAACACACCAACATTTTTCTTCTTTCCCTCAAATACTGACACTGCATCCTGGTGGACACATGGAAAGGTGGCCACCTGGCTTGTGAGAACTGCCCCTTGTCTGGGAATGATCTGGAAAAAAAGACGTGGACCACTCAAATCATGTGAATGCTATAGGACCCTGCTTCCTAGTCATAGCGGATTGGCCCAGCGGTGAATACTTGACCCAAATTGGCCAGGTTCTCTTGCTCAAGAACTTGAAATTTGGATTCAAGAATTTGAGTCCTAAGCAGAGAGAGTCTCATCAATGCCCCTAAGTGATGAGCACAGATTACAATGCCTGAGTTCCAACCACTAAGACCACCTATATCCAAGTCATCCTTTTATTTTCTTACTGTCATCCATGAACATTGTTTATCTCTCCATTTATTTACTTTCCCACATTCTATATTGGTACATTATTGTTGTACATAATGATGTACATTTTTATTTTTTTTATTACATATTCATACTTTCACACAATATAACAATATAATTTGGCCAATATCACACCCCGGCAGTTTACCCCTCCCTTTCCTCTACTGATCTCCCTTTGATTTTCATGAGATTCGCCCCCACCTTTCTTTTCCTTTTTCCTATCAGCTGACCCTTTGATTCCACACAACAGCCAGAATTCTTCTCCAAACTCCTTTCTATTGTTTGCAATTAGAGAAGCTTAACTCAGGTCTCTCCCATCTTAAAACTGCCTTCCTTGCTCTTAAATTTCCCCTCCAAAATCATGACCCTCTCCCTCTCCTCTTTTGCCAAGATTCTTGGTAAAATCTTCCACATCTGTCTACTTCCTCACCTTTCATCCATTCACTCCTCAGCCCATAGTAATTCAACAATACAACTCTCCCTCGGAATCTAGAATTACAAGGGGTTGGTTCCAACAGATACCAAAATCCACAAATGCTCAAGTCCTTTAAATAAAACAGCATCATGTTTGCATATAACCTATGCACATCCTACTTCATAATTTAAATCATCCCTAGACTACCTCTAGTACCTAATACAATGCCTGTACATTAGCTCATCCCCATGGACTCATCATAATACTTGTTAAATGGCAAATCCACATTTTACTTTTTTGGGTATTTCTGCAATTTTTTTCCCCAAATAGTTTCAACCCATGGTTGGTTGAATCCAAGGATGCAGAACCCATGGATATGGAGATCTGTGGTATCTATTTAGCATCCATGTCATGAGAGAATCTAAAACTGAAACAAGGACTTGAGAGGCTTCACTTTTGCCTGCAAATGTCCAATGGTTAATTTAAAACAGGATTAAAAACTTGGCATCTCTGCCTCCATTTTACTTCTATCTCCTTTGCTCTGAGGCACCTTAGATTCCAGAAACAACAGATCTTATCGATAAACATTTTATGATAGAGGAAACCACCCCCTCCCCAGGCAGTAATAATTTTCTTAGGGTAAGCCCTGATTGACCAATCCTGACATATGATGGAACAGACCACCTGACCAAGATCACTGCTTTGCCAGCTGTGCAAACCCTCCAGCCATAAAAATGTCCAACCCTTACCCTCATTTGTCTTCTTGTAAAACTTCAAAGTCATTGTCAGACCCTTAAAGACAGAGCTGAGATGCTTGTTCTCACTTTGCCTTCCCAATATGGCTATATTGATTAAGATTACTTTCCTGCTTTTCACCATTACCTTTCTATTTGGTTTTTGGGGTGCGTGGCAGGATCTGATTTGTTGAGACCTCCCCAGCTAGACCTCTGGCCTAGGACTCCAGTAACAAGACTAGAGAATAAGATACAACCTGGAGACTGAGAGAACTCACAGTCTAGCTGTGGGGAAAGGCATGGTGAAGGGTGATATCAGTTGTCATAGAAATTAAAATAAAACATGGCCGGGGCAACATGGAGAAATTCTCAGGGTGTGATTGAGGGAGGTGCTCATGAAGGGTATCCTGGTGCAAGGGACCTCGAAGCAGTGTCTTCCAGCTGTGAATGATATGTATCTTTCAGGTAAAATATAAATGAATGATGACTTTTTATGTTTATCCAAAATGAAAATAGATTTATTAATTCCTGTGAAAAACAATATATTACAACCAGATCACCCACTTTATTGATACGAAATATATTCATTAGGAAACTTGGCACTGATTTCACCTGCTCAAATGCACCATCTGGGCACATCTGAAATGCTGGCAGGTAGGCAAGCAGGCCATAGAGGGCCTGTGGGCTAGAATTATCAGAGGGGACTTAGAGAAGGGTACGGCAGCCCAGGCTGAGGAACAACCTGAGCAAAAACTTCATCTAATTAAGAAGGGAGTTAAGTAGGGGAAGGCAAAAGAGGAAACAAGAGGTCCACGGAGGCCGGTCACAGAGGGCCTTTTCTCCATACTCATAGGGTTGTTAGGCTTTTTCCAGGTACAGCAGGGAGTCATTTAGAGTTATTGAGCAAGAGAAGGTCATTGTCACTTGTGGCTAGTGTCAGGAAGGAGAGAATTGCACTACTCTTGGTCAACATTTAAGTCATTGTCCCCTCTGTCCCTGAGGCTTGAGGCTCCTATTTAGCATCGGCTGTCCTTAAAACTGCCAAAGATCAGGGCTCAGAGGGAGAAGCGGTCCCTGCTCCCCTCCGTCTCCAGCTCACCGGCCCCAGGCTGAATGTAATTGTCCTCAATGAAACCATCATCATCCTCATCTTCACCCACCTCTGGGCGGTTCCCATTTCCTGTTCTGGGCAGTGGGCGGTGTCGGTAGCTGGCATAGTAGCGACGGCAGACATGGAATTTGGCAGCAAGTGCAAGGAGCACAGAGAAGACCACAGCCCCCAGAACAACCCCTACCAGCACAGGCCACGCCCGGCCCCCAGTGCCCAGTCCAGGGGTCGTGGATATTACTGCGGGGAGCTTCGAGGGCTCCACAGGGGCTGCAGAGAAAGAGAAGCATTATAGGTGGGAAACTGAAAGGAGGGTGGGCAGGGTCCTCCCCCAATCTCAGCAGCTAAGAGAACCCACCCTCTCCTCATCCACCGTGTGCTGTCACTCACTTTGGTTTGTCCCATTCATGGAAGGGCCTGATGACATCAGTGAGCCTCAACCTCTGCCAGAGGCCTATGCCTCTGTCCTGGAAAATACAAAGAGGTGTGGGTGTCAAGGATAGACAGAGAGCATATATTCCAGGTCACACAGCCGTGTTAGGGCATGGCACAAATGCTGGGGCCTGGACAACTCACCACATCACTTGTCCACAGAAGAAACAAGCCGAGTATGCAGAAACTGGTTGTACCTTCCTAAGGGTATGAACATCATCTCCACCTTACAGAAGAGGATGCCGAGGTACAAAAACTAACTCAATCAAAGCCCTAGAATTTGAACCCAGGTCTCTGACACCACAGCCCAGTCTGCCATGCTATTTGGCTAAGGATGGGACATGGAGGCAGAGGCTGTTCGTGGCTCCCAAAGGTTGGACAAGAGCAGTTGTTTGGAGCTACCTAGACACAGGCAGACCACATGAGAAGGCCAATGCCCCCCTACCCTACCCAGGTTAGGGGCTCCAGACATAGCCAGGGCAGCCCTGAACCTCTGCTCCCCATACCACTGCTGCCACACCTCTGCCCTCAAGCTTTCCAGCAAACCCCCTCTACTCATCTCCACCCACAGAAGGCCCACACTGCCCCCAGAGGGAGGATCATGCCAGAGACTAACTATTCCAGCAAGGACCTCCTGAGTCAGGAAAGGTTACAGATGAGGGCCACCTGGGCAGGGAACCTGCCAGAGGAGCACCCAGGTGAGGGGAATAGCTGGAGGAGCACCTGAATCAAAGGCATGTGGGGAGGCCCACCTGGACCTGCAGCAGAGCTGGAGGAAGAACTCCAAAGTTGGGAAGTACCTGGGGAGAGACAGCCCAGGAAGTACCTGGGCTGGGCAGCATCTGCAGGTGGAGCACCTGAATCAGAGGAGTCCCTGGACAGAGTAGCCAGGCTAGGGAACTACCTATAAGGAAGCACTTGGTGTAGGGAAGTATTCTGTCCTATTCTTTAATACAGATAACCGAGTGACACCCTCACCCCTCACATCCAAACTGCCATCAAGCCCCATCAGTTCTTCCTCTAAATGTCTCGAGTGACCTGTTCCTCCCCTCCCCTGATAGCCACTGCTGTACCCAAGCCACCTTTTCCTTGCACCTTTTGCCATGATCTTTCCGCCACGACCTCCTAAATGATCTTTCCCTGCCTCTAGTCCACTCCACAGAGCCAACACTGACCCTATCACCTACTTAAAAGCCCTTCAAAAGCTCCAAGCCTCTTAGGGCTGCAGGCTGATGGCCAGCACATCTTCCCAGGCCTCGCCATCAATCCAGCGTGGGGTCCTCAGGGCAAACAAACTCTCCTACCTCTTTGCCACAGGTCCCTATCCACACTCAGACACACACCCACCCTCTACCTCTAACCACCCTCTCCACAGTTTTTTGAATCTCCATCCCTCAAGGCCAAATCAGATCATCCTGCCCCTGAGGTTTTCCAAGGATTCCCCCGAAGTGGCCTCAGTCCTGTCCTGCTCAGGGAGTCACAAGTTAAAACCGGCTATTTCCAGCCAAGCAGCTCTCTGGGAACAAGGACTTGGCTGGCTGATCAGCGTCAAGGTGCATGCGGGCAGAGCTGGCCTTTGGCGGCTCAGCAAGTTAATGAAATGAATGGGGAATGGGGGCTGGGGGCAGGAAAGGAAGGAGAGAGTGAACTTATGGGGGAGGGGGGAAGGACACATCAGAAAGGCGAGGTATACAGTTCATTCATTCATTTGCAAGCATTTCTTGGTCGCCTGCTGCGTATCTCTCCCCAGGCACTAAGTTTCCCCAAATAAGAGTTTGTTATAGTGAAATGATTTGAATTCAATTTGACTTTCCTAAGATTTTACTCCAATTCCTCTCCTCCCTGCCTGTTTCTATGAATCCTTCCCAAGGACGGACAGACAAACAGACACACACACACACACACACACACACACACACACACACGCCCTGCCCCATCAGGTCAGATAACCACACACCCCTCTGATCTGCACAGACACACCCCCACCCTGATCTGTAGTTTCCTTGTTGCTCTCAGGAGCCCCTGGGAATCTACAGAGAGTCTGTGCACCCTCACCCATGCCCCCCAATGTCTCCCCCCTCTGCTCCCACCTTCAGGAACTAGGCACAGTCCGTGGAGGTGGCTTCCGGCTGGGCCGGCAGAACTTGGACAGGTGGGCGGGACAGAGTTACCACTTGACTCACCTGGGGAGGCGGTGGGTGGGGCGGAAGCTGCAGGAGAAGGAAGGGGAGGGGAGGGGAGGGGAGGCCAGGGCAGAGCAGGGCGGCTAGCAGCGCCTCCCGCAGGGTAGACTCATCCCACATCTTCCCAAGTTTTCAGTGGGGGCAGGCTCACCCTCACCCCCAATACTGGGAGGTGGGTGTACAGCTGGAATCTGGAGGAGGGTCCAGAAGGCCCTAATAGCAGCAGACTTCAGCAGGCAGCTACTCAGACTCGTGGCCCTGATAAACAAGTAAATTTCCTGTGATGGGTACAAAGTCCAGAGTTGAAGGGAGCTTTGCAGGCCTGAGAAGGAGGTGGGCCGGAACTGCAGGGGGAGGGGGAGAGTGACCTTCCCAGGCAAAGCGAGATGGACCAGACTCTCTAAAATTTCCTGCAAGTGTGTGTGTGTGTGTGTGTTTACCCAATTTGGGCCTTCATCTGGATCTCAAGGTTCCCTGTGACCCCACCAACCAATTCTGGGCCTCTCCAGGGCTGCTCCTTCTTGCCTTGCACCTCATCCCTGGGCCTGGTGCCTCCTTGTCCTTCAAGATCCAGTTCAGGAGTCACCTTCCCTGAGCCCTTGAGCCTGGTAAGGCCGCCTGTGGCATGCCCGGAGCACCCTCTGTATCACAGCATTTCTCCCACCCGCTTGTACTTCTCTTTGTGCTGCTTCCCGATTAGCGATTAGCGTGGGAGCTCTCCCAGGGTGGGAGGCAGTCTCTTGGGAGTCCCTGGGTTCCCAACACCCAGCACAGGGCCTGGGGTGAGGCGGGCTCTTGGGGAAGACGGATTACCTGGGCTCAGGCACAAATGGGCCAGGATCCACTGGGTCAGACAGGAGCAGGACACAGCTGGAGCAAGGGCTGCGGAGGATGGTTGCAAAGGCCATGTTAAGAAAAAAACTCTGAGATGCCCTCACTTTAACTACACAGGGCTGGGGATGAAAGGGAGGCCAGATGGGGAAGTTAGATCAGAAATGAGCTACAGGCCACAAGAACCAAAGTGTGTTTTTACCTTCTTGAGCTCTGTTAAACCCTTGAGTGCCGCCGTGTCCTACTTACAGGTTGCTTCTCCATCATGACTGCCTCCCTGTCCCGCAGCCTTGTCTGGCCATGGGGTGTGATCCCAGCCCTCTCATCCATAGCCAGTATGGGTCTGGTGTGAACAACCAGGCTGCCTTCCTTAGATTTTCATAATAAAGTACTCTGGCATTTTCCCAACCACTACTGGTCCTTGCTGGTGGGGGCTGCATCAGCTTGTTCCAAGACAAGTCCATTCTGGCAAGCCTGGTAATGGCTCACCTGTCCTCGCCAAGATTTCACAGTCTTGTGAGTCATGTTCAACAGGGACACAGTCTTGTGAGTCATGTTCAACAGGGACAACCGTGCTGGAGAGCAGAGGCCTGGAATGTCTCGGGATGGAGTTTCAACTCACTGCCAGGAGCCCCTTCCGACTTCTCCCTGATCTGGCTTACACCTGCAATGCCTTCCCACACTTCCCCTCCCTGGATTTGTGTGTTCTGCTCTTTTCCTGGGCCCCTCCCTACTCCAATGGCACCTCCGACCCCTCCCCGACATCTGCATCTTCTAACTGCTGAATTATTCTGAGCAGGCCTCCTTACCTTGCTGGTTCCAGCTACCAAGCCTCATTTATCTAGAAGCCTTCCCTGACATTCCCTTGTCTGGGTGACGTGCCCTCCTCTGTGCCCCATGCCATGCCCCATGCCAGCAGACCTCAACCCTTCTCCTCACAACCCTGACCACCAACCACCTCGTGTGGTGATTTTCTTTTTACTTTCTCCCACAAGCCTGTGATCTTTGGATGTGGGGTCTGTGTCTAAATTCTCATCATGTCACCAACTCCAAAATGGCAACAATAAATACTTATGAAATGAATGAGAGGAAAGTCAATATTAACCCAAATGGAGCAAGAGGCACCAAGAAAGGTGGGTGTTTACTTTATTTTTGAAACAAGGAAATCATAGGATTCAGAGGGGCCTGGTGGCACCCACATATAATCCTTACAACTCTGGAGGCTGAGAAGGGAGGGTCTCAAGTTCAAGACAAGCCTGGGGAACTAGCAAGACCCTGTCTCAAAAGGAAAAATAAAAAGGTCTGGGAGTGTAGCGACCCTGGGTTCAGTACTGGAAAAAAAAAATCATAGGATTCAACAGATATCCACAGAACACTTTCTTCACACCAAAAGCATCCCCTTCCCCCTCCTCCAGCTTTTTTTAGCAACTATTAATCTGCTGTCAGTCTCTATGGATTTGCCCATTCTGGATATGTCACATGGATGCAATCACATTGTGATTATTTAATGGACTGTCTCATTCGATCCTCATAACCAGGCTATGAGATAGATGTTATTTATCCCTTTAACAGGTGCAGAAAATTAGGCTGTGAGAAGGCAATTGGCCTGAAGTCCTGGAGAAGAAGAAAATAAGCAAAAGGTCCACACATCCACCTGTCAATCCATAAGTGAAAGAAAATTTCTTGAATGCCCATGAGAGATCCACATCCGGTCCATCCTGCTCACATTGTAAAACAGCAGAAGGCAATCTGCTGGATGCCCCCGTAACCTGGAGAACAGAGAGAAGGCTGGATATCAACTTCTGCTGGCTCTTCAGCCAGGAGCTCTGATGCAGTGAGCAACTTCCATGACAGCCCTGGCAACCATGTGGTCCGCTCTGAGCAAGCTACTAGGATTAGAGTTAGTGTCATTGTAAAGCTTTTATTCTAATGGAGAAGATGGACAGTACACAATTAAAGAAACAAATAAGACTATTTCAGATGGTGGTGAGTGTTATGGAGAAAATAGCTTCATGTGAACATGAGAAGAGATTGCTACTTTAGATGATCTCACTTAAGATCATCTAAAGAGGGGACTCATTTAAGAGGGAACCTTTGAACCAGGATCTAGATAAGAGTAAGATAGCAACTACACCAAAGTCTGGAGAAAGAGCATTCCGGGCAGAGGGAACACACAG